AAAAGAATCAGTGTTTTTCAAACATCGTAATTAAGCCAAAAATGTTTTAATTTACATTCGGAAAGCTGTTCTGTATTAGTTTTTATAGCGCTAACAAATCTGCATACTGCGTTTGTTGATGTTGTTAAAGGATTCTGACTACAATTATAATTTCCAGAAAAAAGGTATAAGAACAGGCAATTATTTTAAAAATTCAGCGATTTTCAAACATCATAATTAAGCCAAAAATGCTTTATTTTCAATTCGGAAAGCTGTTCTGTGCTAGTTATTATAGCGCTAACAAATCTGGATACTGACTTTTTTGATGTTGTTAAAAGATTCTGACTACAATTATAATTTCCAGAAAAAAGGTCTAAAAACAGGCAATTATTTTAAAAATTCAGCGTTTTTCAAACATCATAATTAAGCCAAAAATGCTTTATTTTCTATTCGGAAAGCTGTTCTGTGCTAGTTATTATAGCGCTAACAAATCTGCATACTGCGTTTTTAAATTTAAAAAATTCAATTTTTTGTCGAATTTTGCAAATTTAATGATGTAACCCCTTATCTTTTTTTCAAATTTCGCAAAAATGCAAAAATTTATTTTCCCACTAAACATTGCTAATTCGATTCAGCTGTTCATTCTGATCAAGAATATATATGATTTATAGGGTCGGAAATTATTCCTTCGTAGTGTAATTAGCTTGAGAATATTACTAATAGCCTGCAAAAAGGTATAAAAACAGGCAATTTTTTAAAAGAATCAGTGTTTTTCAAACATCGTAATTAAGCCAAAAATGTTTTAATTTACATTCGGAAAGCTGTTCTGTGCTAGTTATTATAGCGCTAACAAATCTGCATACTGCGTTTGTTGATGTTGTTAAAGGATTCTGACTACAATTATAATTTCCAGAAAAAGGTATAAGAACAGGCAATTATTTTAAAAATTCAGCGATTTTCAAACATCATAATTAAGCCAAAAATGCTTTATTTTCAATTCGGAAAGCTGTTCTGTGCTAGTTATTATAGCGCTAACAAATCTGCATACTGCGTTTGTTGATGTTGTTAAAAGATTCTGACTACAATTATAATTTCCAGAAAAAGGTGTAAAAACAGGCAATTATTTAAAAGAATCAGTGTTTTTCAAACATCGTAATTAAGCCAAAATGTTTTAATTTACATTCGGAAAGCTGTTCTGTATTAGTTTTTATAGCGCTAACAAATCTGCATACTGCGTTTGTTGATGTTGTTAAAGGATTCTGACTACAATTATAATTTCCAGAAAAAAGGTATAAGAACAGGCAATTATTTTAAAAATTCAGCGATTTTCAAACATCATAATTAAGCCAAAAATGCTTTATTTTCAATTCGGAAAGCTGTTCTGTGCTAGTTATTATAGCGCTAACAAATCTGCATACTGCGTTTGTTGATGTTGTTAAAAGATTCTGACTACAATTATAATTTCCAGAAAAAGGTGTAAAAACAGGCAATTATTTTAAAATTCAGCGTTTTTCAAACATCATAATTAAGCTAAAAATGCTTTATTTTGAATTCGGAAAGCTGTTCTGTGCTAGTTATTATAGCGCTAACAAATCTGCATACTGCGTTTTTAAATTTAAAAATTCAATTTTTGTCCAATTTTGCAAATTTATCTTTTTTCAAATTTCGGAAAAATGCAAAAATTTATTTTCCCACTAAATATTGCTAATTCGATTCAGCTGTTCATTCTGATCAAGAATATATATGATTTATAGGGTCGGAATTATTCCTTCGTAGTGTAATTAGCTTGAGAATATTACTAATAGCCTGCAAAAAGGTATAAAACAGGCAATTTTTTAAAAGAATCAGTGTTTTTCAAACATCGTAATTAAGCCAAAATGTCTTAATTTAAATTCGGAAAGCTGTTCTTTATTAGTTTTAATAGCGCTAACAAATCTGCATACTGCGTTTGTTGATGTTGTTAAAAGATTCTGACTACAATTATAATTTCCAGAAAAAAGGTATAAAACAGGCAATTATCTCAAAAATTCAGCGTTTTTCAAACATCATAATTAAGCTAAAAATGCTTTATTTTCAATTCGGAAAGCTGTTCTGTGCTAGTTATTATAGCGCTAACAAATCTGCATACTGCGTTTTTAAATTTAAAAATTCATTTTTTGTCGATTTTGCAAATTTTAATGATGTAACCCCTTATCTTTTTTTCAAATTTCGCCAAAAATGCAAAATTTATTTTTCCACTAACATTGCTAATTCGATTCAGCTGTTCATTCTGATCAAGAATATATATGATTTATAGGGTCGGAAATTATTCCTTCGTAGTGTAATTAGCTTGAGAATATTACTAATAGCCTGCAAAAAGGTATAAAAACAGGCAATTTTTTAAAAGAATCAGTGTTTTTCAAACATCGTAATTAAGCCAAAAATGCTTTATTTTCAATTCGGAAAGCTGTTCTATGCTAGTTATTATAGCGCTAACAAATCTGCATACTGCGTTTTTAAATTTAAAAATTCAATTTTTGACGAATTTTGCAAATTTTAATGATGTAACCCTTATCTTTTTTTCAAATTTCGCAAAAAATGCAAAAATGTATTTTTCCACTAAACATTGCTAATTCGATTCAGCTGTTCATTCTGATCAAGAATATATATGATTTATAGGGTCGGAAATTATTCCTTCGTAGTGTAATTAGCTTGAGAATATTACTAATAGCCTGCAAAAAGGTATAAAAACAGGCAATTTTTTAAAAGAATCAGTGTTTTTCAAACATCGTAATTAAGCCAAAAATGTTTTAATTTACATTCGGAAAGCTGTTCTGTATTAGTTTTTATAGCGCTAACAAATCTGCGTACTGCGTTTGTTGATGCTGTTAAAAGATTCTGACTACAATTATAAATTCCAGAAAAAAGGTATAAAACAGGCAATTATTTTAAAAATTCAGCGTTTTTCAAACATCATAATTAAGCCAAAAATGCTTTATTTTCAATTCGGAAAGCTGTTCTGTGCTAGTTATTATAGCGCTAACAAATCTGCATACTGCGTTTGTTGATGTTGTTAAAAGATTCTGACTACAATTATAATTTCCAGAAAAAAGGTATAAAAACAGGCAATTATTTTAAAAATTCAGCGTTTTTCAAACATCATAATTAAGCCAAAATGCTTTATTTTCAATTCGGAAAGCTGTTCTGTGCTAGTTATTATAGCGCTAACAAATCTGCATACTGCGTTTGTTGATGTTGTTAAAGGATTCTGACTACAATTATAATTTCCAGAAAAAGGTATAAGAACAGGCAATTATTTTAAAAATTCAGCGATTTTCAAACATCATAATTAAGCCAAAAATGCTTTATTTTCAATTCGGAAAGCTGTTCTGTGCTAGTTATTATAGCGCTAACAAATCTGCATACTGCGTTTGTTGATGTTGTTAAAAGATTCTGACTACAATTATAATTTCCAGAAAAAAGGTGTAAAAACAGGCAATTATTTAAAAGAATCAGTGTTTTTCAAACATCGTAATTAAGCCAAAATGTTTTAATTTACATTCGGAAAGCTGTTCTGTATTAGTTTTATAGCGCTAACAAATCTGCATACTGCGTTTGTTGATGTTGTTAAAGGATTCTGACTACAATTATAATTTCCAGAAAAAAGGTATAAGAACAGGCAATTATTTTAAAATTCAGCGATTTTCAAACATCATAATTAAGCCAAAAATGCTTTATTTTCAATTCGGAAAGCTGTTCTGTGCTAGTTATTATAGCGCTAACAAATCTGCATACTGCGTTTGTTGATGTTGTTAAAAGATTCTGACTACAATTATAATTTCCAGAAAAAAGGTGTAAAAACAGGCAATTATTTTAAAAATTCAGCGTTTTTCAAACATCATAATTAAGCTAAAAATGCTTTATTTTGAATTCGGAAAGCTGTTCTGTGCTAGTTATTATAGCGCTAACAAATCTGCATACTGCGTTTTTAAATTTAAAAATTCAATTTTTTGTCCAATTTTGCAAATTTTATCTTTTTTTCAAATTTCGGAAAAAATGCAAAAATTTATTTTCCCACTAAATATTGCTAATTCGATTCAGCTGTTCATTCTGATCAAGAATATATATGATTTATAGGGTCGGAAATTATTCCTTCGTAGTGTAATTAGCTTGAGAATATTACTAATAGCCTGCAAAAAGGTATAAAAACAGGCAATTTTTTAAAAGAATCAGTGTTTTTCAAACATCGTAATTAAGCCAAAAATGTCTTAATTTAAATTCGGAAAGCTGTTCTTTATTAGTTTTAATAGCGCTAACAAATCTGCATACTGCGTTTGTTGATGTTGTTAAAAGATTCTGACTACAATTATAATTTCCAGAAAAAGGTATAAAAACAGGCAATTATTTTAAAAATTCTGCGTTTTTCAAACATCATAATTAAGCCAAAAATGCTTTATTTTCAATTCGGAAAGCTGTGCTGTGCTAGTTATTATAGCGCTAACAATTCTGCATACTGCGTTTTTAAATTTAAAAATTCAATTTTTTGTCGAATTTTGCAAATTTTAATGATGTATCTTTTTTCAAATTTAGGAAAAAATGCAAATATTTATTTTTCCACTAAACATTGCTAATTCGATTCAGCTGTTCATTCTGATCAAGAATATATATGATTTATAGGATCGGAAATTATTCCTTCGTAGTGTAATTAGCATGAGAATATTACTAATACCCAGCAAAAAGGTATAAAAACAGGCAATTTTTTTAAATAATCAGTGTTTTTAATGGTTTATAGGGTCGGAAATGACTACTTTATTGATTTTTCAGCTTCGGACTAAAATTTTAATACCCAGAATGTAGAAAAATATCATTGTTGTTTTCCTCATCTGCCCATCGAGAGGAAAGCGCTCAATATCGTATCAAAAATATCATTGCTTTAATTTAATTAGCTCTAATCCGTGTTAATCCTCACACAAAAGTTGCAATAAAAAAGTACAAAACATTTTATTTTTTTATATATTTTTATTTGTCTTCTTTTTTTTGGTTTCAATTTTACTCTGTCAATTGATTTTCTAACAACTCTATACAAAAATTGTCCTTCCGTAGTCCAAAGTCATTTACATAGAATGCCTTACTAAGCGGTACAATATAATTAATTTGCTAAATGCTACTTAGATGCTAGTATTACAACAAGAAATGCGTGAATGTTGTTGGTTCGTCGTTTATGGAATAATAATTGGATGCAAAGATGGGCTGTGACTCGAAACAGAAAAGATGTACGGAAAAACGATATATAAACAAAACAAAAACGGTGTGTCCATCCATTAGTTGGTTGTGTTTTTTTTAATGGTCATCCGTAACCTAGCTAGTTGGCTCTTTGTACTATTTTAAATCTGAGACTGATTTCGTGTCGGGCTACGCTTCGTTCAAGTCTTATTGGTTTTACGGATCGTGTGAGTCGTCGGTTCATTTGGAATTCTCGGTTTGGCTTACAATTTACACTTACATCTAAGCACGGGCGTAGTATACAAGTTTTTCTTTATGTTTAAAAAACTATTTACATACTGGAATTGCCTTACAATACAATAATCGTATTATTTAATTGACTGTACTTTCCAACAATAATTGTGGGTGCTTTCCATTTGTTTTTATTATAATTATAATGTACATTACATACAAAAAGTTGTATAAAAATCCGCATTTATAGCTCACATACGAATACTGGACCGGCAAGTTGTTTTCTATGTGTGATCGTGTCTTAAATTTAAGCTGAAAATTGTAGTTATAATGAGGGGGAAGAAAAAGTTCGAAACATAAACCTAATGTTCACATTTCGTTGTCAAAAATAATCGATGTTGTGTGTTGCACATAGTAACTATTCTACGACCATGAATGGAATCGCTGGTCAGGTCATATAAATGCATTGTCAAGTTAGTTACTTAAACTGAGGATAGTTCCTTCATTTGTCAATATGGAGAGATCAAGTTGGAAATGAATCGAATGCAAAATAATTAACAAGCTTCGTGCGTCGTCATGGGATCGAGAAAACCTATTGAGTTTCTGGCTCAAGCGTCAGGCAAACGGACTCTAAATTCGGGTATGTTATAATTAATATAGATTTATTCGAGAGGAGACTACAGAAAATATTCAAATTAAGTGGCGCTCTGGCACTCCACTCTCGGGCTTAGGCTCGAATCGGGATTTAAAATCAAACGGAGGCCAAAAAAGGGGGAGGATTGAATAACATATTTCAGGCAGAAAGCCTTGTACCGAAAACTGAAAGCTGATATTCGATATCCGATATTGGATATTAATAAAGGGGATAGAGACTCTAAGGGAGTTCGTGTAAGCGTAGCAAGGATGCCTTAAATGCAAATACCTAGCACTAAGTTTTTAATGTAATGGGAGCGGCGGCATGCATGCTTTTCAGAGGGCTCTGCCCCCGCCCTAGATGATGCGATTGACCAGCGGCATTTTGCGCCTGTTGTAGGTGGGCGGTTGATGCTGCAGTTGCGCAACCTGTTGCACCTTCACCTTCTGGCCATACTGCTGCTCCAGCTCGCCGGCGGGTCCGATGGCATAGTTGATGTCCACACGGGCACGCTTCGCAGGTGGCTGCTGCTGATAGCCGTCGTTGGCATTCAGATCGGCTGGATTCAGTTCGATGATGTGCTGCGACTGGTTGTTGATCAGGCGACGCACTGCCTCCTTGTCATCATCAATGTCGATGGCATCGTACAGTTCATCTACCTGGAATTCAAGACAACAAATTAGTATTTACAATTCGTAACCGAATGGTATTCCAGAACTCACCTCAATATCAAAGTCACTGTGCTTCTGGACGAGCAGTTCGTGATCAATGGGCAGGTTATTCGACTGATTAATGCTGGCATGCGAATTGTGCTCGTCTTCAGCATCAAACTCGCTCAGCATGTGCTCCTCCTCGTCTTCGTCCTCCTCACCGGCCTCCTCCTCCTCCTCTTCCTCCACCAGCATGGCATCCACCAGGGTGTCCTCGAAATCTTGCTCCAAATCAGAAGATTCCTCGATCTCCGACTGCGAATCCATCTCCACATCCGAGTCCGCGGATCCATGCTTCATCTCTCCCCTTTCCAGGGACTCCAAGTGATGTGGATAGACCATGGCTCCGCGTATGGCAGCTGGATCCTTGCGCGACCACTTCTGCACCTCCTCGTCCATCTTGTTGATGCGCTCGGGATTCATGGCCCAGCGGCAGCCCTTCCTCTGATTGCCATTCGTGGCCGGGCGTTCGATCTTCTCGAAGCACTTGTTCAGCGACAAATTGTGACGCACACTGTTCTTCCAGCCATTGGGAGCGTTCTCGAAGTACGGAAAGTGCTGGCAGAGGAAGCTGTAGATCTCGGAGACGGGCAGTGAGCCGGCACGCGAGTTCTTGAGGGCCAGAGCGATGAGGCAGGAGTAGGAATACGCTGGCTTGGGGAACGGACTGCCCACAGCCGGCACCTTAACCTTTTGCTGCAGTGGCTTCACCATGCCACCCACTCCCGATCCATTCGCATTGTTGTTATTCGCTATGTTGACCAGATTGCTCACATTGCCCAGCGGTGAGAGGGCCGCCGAGGAAGCGGAGGACAGGGACGAGGGCGATCCCAGACTGTAGCTGCAGTTGCTCTGCATTTGATGATGCGGCGAATTGGCCGACGAAGCGATACTCTTTGGTGTGGTGCTGCTGATTTGATGACCTCGCTTGTCCTCCCGCTTGATGATGCCTCCGGGCGACATGCCACCGGGTGACTTCACCACAGAGGTTTGTTTCAGTTTCTGGTACGCAGCACTGTTGGCAAAGGTCAGTCCACCGATGCCGGGTGCAAGCTTAATTGTGTTGGTGGCTCCACCGCCAGCTGTGAGCAGCGTTGTAGCACCCTTGCCCTTGCCCATCTCCACTTCCAGGTTGTTGGGCACCGGGCTCGAGGACTGAGCCTTGCGCAGCTCTGTGGCCAAATCCTTGCGCACGGCATCCACGGCCGAAGAGTTGCGACGCTGCAGGGCCGAGTTCGTGGCCATCGTTGCGGGCGCTGTGGTGCCTGTGCCTGTGACCACGGATATCTGTTTGGGTATATGCGCCATCACCTGCTCCCGGCGCAGAGATCCAGCGCTGACCTTCATCTGGGCGGGTGAAAAGGTCAAGTGCGACTTGGGATGATCACGATCTGCAGAGGGCGACGATGGCACCGCTCCCGATCTTCCCTGGGCGGATGTGGCTGTCTTGCTGCGTCGCGGCGAACCTAATGACGATCCGGAGGTGGAGTTTATCAGCGGCATCACGGAAATGGGATTCACACAGGCACCCAGATCTGCATAGTAGTCCGAATTGGACCAGAAACTGGCCGAGGAGCCCATCCATTTGGCCGTGGGCGAGGCATGGAGAGCGCTGCTGGTCAGGAAGTTGGCGTTGGCATTGTAGGAGACCGGCAGACTGCTGCTCCCTGTGCTGCTGCTGTTGTTATTTATGGCGGATATGGCCTCGAGGGCATGATCCAGGGACGAGGTGAGATCACTGCTGGAGCTGCCCACCACATTGGCAATCTCTGCGCGAATGTCCACATTCAGCATTTCCTGCATTGAGTCGGAAACGTAGAAATCCAGTGAGGGTCCAGCTGCGTCCTGTAATGGAAAGGTGAAATAATTTTATTAGTAACATTTTTCAAGGATAACAATTGTTGTTTCTTTGGTTTAAGCTGTTCAGTGCTATATTATAAATTATTTAAATTCCCGCCACTTTACAATAACAATGTGTTGCGTAGATTTTCACTGCTTGCGAGGGAAGGTTTGTCAGTTTCAAATTTTTCATCAAATCAAATTTTAAAAAACTAATAACTCAACCAAAAATTCATTAATTTTAATTCGGAAAGCGTTCCTATGGTAGTTTTTATCAATTTAAAGTTTAAAAAAATTCAACATTTTGCGAATTTTTGAACATTTTAATGATGTAACCCCAAACAGACTTGGTTAAATCGATCCGCCTGTTGATGCTGATCAATAGTATATATGACTTATAGGATCGGAAATTACTCTTTCACATCTTAACAAGCTCCTGACTAAAATTACAATACCCTGAAAGGGTATTAAAATATTAAAAACTAAAATAAGTTCATTTTGTTTGTTTTTTAATAATTTCCTTATATTTTAGAGTAGAAAACCAAGTAAAAGTTAAAGACATACATATCAAATAAAAAAAAAAACATATTTATTTATAATCAAAGATAATAAATGATATAGATAGGTACATATGTATGTATAAAAAATTTCATAAACCAAAGTGCGTATATGTATATCTATTTACATAGATTTCGAAATATTCCTTCCGCTGCTCTAAGCATAAATCAAAACATCCAAGAAATGTTTACTTTTTTTTACAAACCTTCCTAACTACACACAAACATTAACATGAGCCCAGAATTTTCCCGCGCTTTGATTTTCCGTTGAAAGTCTCGTAGGGATAACATTCCTGGGCATACACACACACACACACACTGAGACCCACATACTCGTGTGTATAATAATGATTAAATCTGTAACACAAGTCGTCTCTCGGATCGCCGAGTCCGAATCTGATATCTCCGTGCACAGATACAGATACACATTGGGGATCTTGTCGTATAAGTTTTCATTTTCTATATGAGCCAGCAACAACAACCACATCGTCATCGTCATCATCATCATCATAATCATTAACTTGGAACGAAAACAACAATAATAAATGAGGGACCACAGGAGCAAGAGCAGAGACGAGCCGAGTTCAAAACCAGTTTTTACGCGCCAAGGCAGGCAGCAAGGCTGAACAACAACAACAACAAAAAAACAAAATATGTAAAAAAAGGAAACAAAAACAGGCGACGAAGAGCAGACAGCAAAGGATAGGAAAAGGGACATGGTCGGGGCATATTTCTGAGTTGCATATAGCACTCCCAGCAACAACAACAACGACCAAACAACAACGAAAATAACTCATGTTGCAACACCAAAGAAACGAACCCAACAACAACAACCACAACAACGGCAAAGTCGGCAACATGTAAACATTTTTTTTTTTCCTTTCCTCGGGAGTCTGTAGTCCAGTGCTGCATACACACACACATAAATCTGTATATTTATGTACCAAACATTCAAAACATTACAAGTCCATACAGTTGTGGTCACAAAGTGAAGTGTACTGTTTTTTAATGCGATATTTACATAGAATCTTCTGGAATTTCATCAGACAAAATGCGACGTTTTTAAAGAACTAAAATTCGAAATTTAAATTACATTTTATACCTTTGCAGGGTATTATAATTTCAGTCAGAAGCTTGAAATGCTGTGAAGGAATAATTTCCGACCCTATAAATCATATATATTATTGATCAGCATCAAAATCAGAATCAATCTAACCATGTTTGGTCGTAAAATAAATTTTTGATATTTTTTCAAAATTTTAAAATATTATAAGGGGTTACATCGTAAAAATTTTAAAAAATTTCCAAAAATTTCAATTGTTTAAATTTTAAATTGAGTATGCAGATTTGTTAACATAATAAAAACTAACATAGGACATCTTTCCGAATCAAAATTAATGCCTTTTTGACTGAGTTATGAGTTTTTTAAACTTTGATCAGAAAGTAAAATGTAACTGATTTATTTCATGTCATATTTACTGGTTAAATTTTAAGTTCTTTAAAATACACCTTAGGAATTCAGAAGATGTTTATAATATTTTGTCAATAATTGTATTAACCCAACATAATATCGTACAAAGTAGGCGGAAAAGGAGTCGAGGTCCAGAGAAGGCCACACAACAATAACAGTGACCAAACCGGATATCAAAAAAATTGAAAGTTTTATGCAATAATCGCGAGGGGATCGGCATCGGGATCGGGATCGCAGTCGCGATTTGCGCCTTGCATTATAAATGAGATTCGAACTGGAGACTGGAGACTGGAGACTGGAGACTGTGGCTGTGAGTACTAAATGTAGGCTGTAGACTGAAGTGGGGTGGCGCTTACCCCCCTCAAAGAAGTGACTCATAGTGTGGTCCCAGTCTCCGAATTAGATTTACTTGCAGATCACACACACACACACAACTCCCTCAGTATTTTTTTTGCAGTTTCCTGAGGGGAATACGAAATGCAAACAACCACCAGTGGATAGAATGTTGCTGGCAACATGTTGCCAGCTCTCTGTTAACAGAAAAAGAAGACTACAGCCAAAGGGGAATATATACATACAAAATATATACCTAAATACATGGCAAAGGGAAAAAAGGAATTAAAGCCGTACAAAAACAGAAAACAGGGAAACTTCTCTCTCCCTCTCTCGCTCTCTCTTTAGCTCTATGTGTGTGCGCGGCGAAACAGAGCAGGGCAAGTGAGAGCGAGTGAGCGACAGAGAGAGAGAGAGACAGAGAGGGGTAGCAAAACATAGAACTCACATAACAGAGCTGCCACAGAGGCAGGGCGAAGTTGTTGCTACGACCTCTGTTGCGCGTACAGTAGGCAACAAAACATGCGGCGAGTATGTGTGAGAACAGAAAAATGAAGCAGAGGCAGGCAACAACAAAAACAAACGGAGCAGAATGAGCGAAATAGCAAGCACACACTTTTGCTTTTCGCCATACACATATTCGCTGTTTCTGCTTGTGGACTTTGTTTCTTGCCGCAACTGTGCAAAAAGTGTAGTAGGTAGCAGAAATTAGTAGTAGGCCGTGATGTTTTCGTCACTTTACAGTTTTTGGGCTGTTAAAAAAGGTGGCGCTGCTGTTGCTGTTAGATTTGGGGGGAGTGGGCGGGTGGGCAAGCTTCCCAATGTCACGGTGTCCTTGAAGCGGAGCCACAAAGCGCAAAACACTGACCTGACCCCGAAGTTGGGGGTCATCCTGTGACCCCACCTTTGCATGTTTTTATTATGCGGCGAGGCGACGCCGAAAAATCAATAGACAAGAGCATACACACTGGGATACACGGGCATACAAAAGGATATGCCGGATGATATGGAGCGGGCGACCGCCACACGAGAATGATAAGTTGCATAATTTAGCAGGATATCATAAATTTGTGCAGGCAGGCTTTCGCCCGTTCACATTGCGGCGAAAGAGGGACAGACAAAAAGGGTGTGTTGATTGTGGGAGGATGGGGATTCCCCAAAAAAGAACGCACCTTTATCACTGTGCCCCCTTTTTTACTGTCTGCCGCAAAATGAACGGGATGTGACGGAGACGAAAAGGGGTGAGGCAGGATGTTGGGGATCCGAGAGTCAGTTCAGGGTTTCAAGTGCCATTCAAGTGCCCTCCTTCTTACCCATGAACACTTTTCTATCCACTTTTTTCCATCAGCCAATTGCCCATACACATAGGAAAATTGAACTTATCTGTTGAGTATTAAAACTCTAATTAACTTTTTGAATTATTTAACATTTAAGCGAGTTGAAATGATAAACCGTTTCTTCGGAATCTACATTTTTGAAAAGGAATCCTAGTTCGCTTGATTGTATAGAACTTTTCCTTGGAATACTATCTAACTATGTTCATTCTAGGAATTTCTATTGAACTGGAAGAATAAATTACAAAGATGATAGAGGAATTTAAACCAGAATTTAATATAAATTAAGAGGAAAAATATTTCTTAAAATTAAATAAAAGGTCTAGAAACCTCTACCCGAGATTTCCCTATAATTTGGATATTCCACAAAGATTTTCCCGAGTGTTATCATTCCTTCTTCCGAATCAAAAAGGGCTTTATGCAATTTCACTGAAGATCCTCCCCGAATGCAATCTACACACCTGCAACTCTGCCTCCATATGGCGCATCCTGGGCCAAAACACAATCGAATTACCTCACGGCAGGTGTTTGTACGATAAGTCAGACCCAAGCGACTCCATCCAGAGCCAGTGTTCGTTCGAGTCCGAGAGCGTGTAATTGTTGCATTTCGAATGCAGCCACCATGCATGCAACATGCAACCCAACCAAGAAAGGGCAAACTCGGAAGAGTAAAGTCAGGGAGCCAGAAGAAACAGGGAAAGGACAGCAGCTGGCAATCTTCAGCTGGAAATAAAGTAGCTGCAGCAGCAGCTGGCTCATCTTTGCAGTTTCTTCGTTTATCAAATCGATTTGTATTGAACTGAGGAGTCAATTGATATTTGGAGAGAGGATTCCAAAATTAAACAATAACACAGAATGAACATGCTGCAGATGTACTTTAATATGTTTTGATAGAAACAACTAGATTCTTGAGATGTTTACCCAAGCATGAACTCTTAATGTTTCTAAAAATTGCATCTGCTTAAAACACGATTTAATACTTCTTATAAAAGGTTTTCTGAGCAATACAATCATATTGGTTTTGTATTATTTATGGAGTTTTTAAGATTAGGTTGGTACAGACTTTAAAGAACACACAACATTATTTGTATTACGAAGTTTGATGCTAGTAACCCCCTATAGAAATACTCTACATTTTCCTAAATAATATAATCATTTTCGCAATCCTTCCAAACCCAATCAAAACAAAGTTGTCAGTTTGTTTAGTGCATTTTTATCAGCTTAAAACACACTCTACTCAATCGAGAAATATCTCCCCTCTATTTGCCCATAATCTACCCCAATTGGAATATGATTCACCAATTTCGTACA